ATGGGACACTGAGAGAGAAAAAACCGTTGGTGATGTCATATTTACAAACACATTCGTTTGATGATGGTGTAAAACAACGATCTAGATTTTCTGGCGCCTCGGTCAAACATCTATTTTATCTCCTAGGACATGAAGTAGAAATGTTTGATGTCAAAGCAATTGGCGGATTAGTCACAAAGATTTCGATGTTGATATAATTTTCGTGAATACCAGAGTAGTACGTTTTGGTCCATATCATTGTTTTTTATTTTGTTTCAAATAATAATGTTAATGTTAATAATGTTAGGGTTAATAATTCCTATAATCTGTCAGTTGGATAGCCATGCAAAGCAGACAGTTAGGGTACAAAACTATATTCATAAGAAATCTCTGCCAAAAGGAGAGTCGATTGTACGATTCTGACTATATCATGAGCATACGTTTATGAATCACTATCAAATAGTGATGATACCAGGTGTTCGCCAAAAGGTGAGCGTATCCTGTCCCACCGGCGGCACCCGTCACAAACACATGCAAAGGCAAATAAAATGTTCATCTTAAAAAACACAGGACATATAAGTCAAAATAGGGAACTGCATCGAACATAATTTTTGTCACTGATGCGTCAAATTTGGAAATGTCCTCCACATGTCTACCATAAACTTTTTTGAAAGCTTTACTGAGGCCTTGAAGGTTGTAACCTTGATCAAACAACTTCTCAGCAAGAGTCTTATGACGCTCTTTGACATCTTGATAGAAAGAGTATGCTCGACTGTACCCCAGAAGTTGTGAAATGTAAACACCAAAGGCTGGAGCTGCAGGAATATTGGTCGACATAAATAATGAACAGATGAGGCGGGCTCACTAGCCTTCTTTATTTGTAGTTCATACGGGTAAATCAGTGATAAGAAATCTGTAAATAAGAAATATCTGCCAAAAGCAAACTCCACCGTACCATTCCGACTATATTCTGAGCACGTGTTTACGAATCAGTGAACTGAAGTGAAATGGGGTTTAACGTCGAGTCCAAGATTATTGCACTTATATAGCTACATGCATGCATGTGTATGTGGCTGCTTGTACTAGTCCGGACTGATGTCGATTTATAGTGCTAGCTCATTGAGATACCATGCCCCAGTTTAACATGAATACCCAACACAGACACAGTATACTGACACCGAGCCGACCAGTCCTTGCTTGAGCCTCTTAATGCCGAGCGCCAGATAGGGTAACAACAAGTACCATATTTTAACATATTTTGGTATGACGCGGTCGGGGATCGAACCCCTAGCGCACGCCCTACCACTAGACCACAGAGGCGGTCGTTTTTGAATCAGTATCAAATAGAGATGATACCCGGTGTTCGTCAAAGTACAAGCAAAGGGCATTTGTTCATAGGATGAAGGAGATATTTGATGTTTCAACTCATGTATGTGAGCCGCATGTTGTAATGATGGTTTCTACAATTGGCATTTAAAATTCTAAATCGTCGACATAAATGAGTTTATGTTTATGAATCACTATCAAAATACCGATGATACCAGGTGCACCACGAAATGGTAAGTGTATCCTGTCCCCCGGTGGTAACCGCCACAAACACAAATAATTAGTTCTGAGGATATACCGAATATATAACTATGTACCGTTTGTTAATCAACAGTCGAGGAGCCGAACCATCTGATCTCCATCTTAATTGGCTCTCACGACCAGCATGAGGTACGTGACTTGTGTTGTAACGCGAAACGATTGGACGTAATAACTCTTTCCGCAACTTTCTGCTGAAGAAAATAACACTACCTTAAATTAGCTTTCTGTCTCATAAACATAAGAAAAGCTGGGCATATAGAAGGGGGAGTTTGGTGTTATGCCGTTTTGAGTAATATCCCAGAAATATGGCGCGTGACACAAAGCGGGGGTTTCACATATTGTATCCATGAGAGGAAATGAACCGAATTTCTGTTGAAAACATAAAACTACCTGAGTGAGTGAGTATGGTTTTACGCCGCTTTTAGCAATATTCCAGCAATATCACGGCGGGTGACACCAGAAATGGGCTTCACACATTGTACCCATGTCGGGAATCGAACCCGGGTTTTCGGCGTGACGAGCGAACGCTTTAACCACTGGGCTACCCGACCGCCCCTAAAACTACCTGAAAATGGGTTTCTATCTAATAAACATGAAATATTGGGAATATGGATGACAGAAGTTGGTTAAACGTCGCTTGAGCTATATCCCAGAAATATCATGACAAAATGGGGGTTTCACATATTAAATCCATGAGGGGAATTGAATCCCGGGCGCGACAAGCTAATGCTCGAATCATAAGGCTACCCCGTTACATCATAGGATACATACACAGTTGGAACACACATGTACTCAACAATAAGGCCCCTAACAGACTGATATTTCCAAATATTCATCACTGTCATTTTATTTCTCTGGGTTCAAGAGTCTGGTGGTCTACCTGGCGGGAATCGAACCCATCTCTGGTGTTACGAAGGACATTGTGACCAGTAAGCCACAAGGAACGTGCTGGAATATACACGATGCTCATAATTCCCTGGAATACTGCAACCCTCATGGTTCACGTCGCACAGCTGACTCTTTTAGAAATGATGGAGACGAGTGAGACCGCCTCATCTTGTCGCTCTCCACAAGACTGCCTCGAGCAATATTCCTGCATCTCCAGCCCTTGTGTCTACATTTCACAACTTTTGAGGTACAATCGAGCATGCTCTTTCTATGAAGATTTCAAAGGAAGTCATACGGCTCTTGCTCTTAAGCTGTTTGATCAAGGTTACAACATTCAAGGCCCAGTAAAGTTTACCTAAAAAGTTTATGGTGGACATGTGGAGGACATTTCTAGATATGACGCATCACTGACAAGAATTATGTCCGATGCAGTTCCCTGTGTTGGCTTGTACTATATGTTCCAGTGTTTTTTCAGATGAACATTTGACTTGCCTTTGCATGTGTTTGTGACGGATGCCACCGGTGGGGAAAGAATATAGTCGGAATGGTACAGCGGAGTTTGCTTTGGGCAGATATTTCTTATTTACAGATTTCTTATCACTGATTTACCCGTATGAACTACAAATAAAGAAGGCTAGTGAGCCCGCCTCATCTGTTCATTATTTATGTCGACCAATATTCCTGCAGCTCCAGCCTTTGGTGTTTACATTTCACAACTTCTGGGGTACAGTCGAGCATACTCTTTCTATCAAGATGTCAAAGAGCGTCATAAGACTCTTGCTGAGAAGTTGTTAGATCAAGATTACAACATTCAAGGCCTCAGTAAGCTTTCAAAAAGTTTATTGTAGACATGTGGAGGACATATCCAAATTTGACGCATCAGTGGCAAAAATTATGTTCGATGCAGTTCCCTATTTTGACTTATATGTTCCTGTGTTTTTTAAGATGAACATTTGACTTGCCTTTGCATGTGTTTGTGACGGATGCTCACCTTTTCGCGAACACCTGGTATCATCACTATGTGACAGTGATTCATAAACATGCTCATGATATAGTCTGAATCGTACAATTGATTCTCCGCTTGGCAGAGCTTTCCAATAAATATGGAAAGGGTTATGTCGCATTTATGTTCAGAGCAACATATAGTCTCAATGCTTGTGGTAAGAACCGACTAGTTTGCGAATGGGGTGGTTTAATATAAACCTGGCAGACGGTGCACCACCGTAGCCAGCGATGTGGATCTTTGCTGATACTATTATCCATATATTTGCCTGGTACAGACATATCACTGGTCGCCGTGATAAGCTAGTAGCTGGATTATTGATGGCGTCGTCAACGCCAGAGAATAACCAGTCTCGATTATCCAACAGAACAAATTCCATTGGTCGTAAAAGGCAAACTAGCGGAGGACTTTATATGAATGGAACACTGAAAATCTATGGTAAAAAGGGATAGAAAATTCAATGATATAAATGATTTCATTGGATTTATCAAAAAGGACAAGATCAGGTTTGTTGGCCTGGATAGGTCTGAGGCTGTATACGGGCCTATTCCAAAGAATTTTGTATTTATCGTTTTCCATGACGCCCTTTACATATTCTGAGCCGTACCATCGATTAATCTCTGTGTTAAAACCACAAGCATTACGAAGACGGTAATAAAATGATCGAGCCATTCCATCATGTCGCTTAAGATAGTGTGTTTGTGCCAAAAGCTGGGCATCCACTGACAATGTGTTGGACGGTCTTATTAAATTCATTGCTTAATCTACACTTCATATCTACAGTTTGATGCAAAATTACACGTTGGCGGTTTCGAGCGGGAAGTGACTGGTCCTGAGCAGCAAACAGAAAGCTTTCTGTTTCCCCTTTCAGGCCAGCCGACTTCATCCAAGCAAAGGACTCTGTGGAGTTTCTCCGCTTCTCAACACACTGCACACAAACTCAATGCAGTAGTCGTTCAGAAAGTCTCCCCTTGAGAAAGCCTCTCTGGGCCAAATTGATATGGCAATTCGCTTGGTTAACACTCATATCTGTACCGTCCACCAGTACAGAACCATCCACAAAACGATGGCGTAAATGCCAAAATAGCTGTGAAAATTATACGAACGATTTAGTGTCCTATCTATGTGGTAGATATCTCATGACGTGAAATTAACATCGATATCGCATAAATCTTGGAGTACGAAACCAAGTAAAGCTAATCCGCAGTAGAGATATCATAATCGTTCAGCATCAACACACACACGTCAAGTGGTGACAGCGAATGGGAGTCCCTCTGCTGTGTTCACAGGTGACACGCCTCGGGCAAGACAATAATAGTTTTGACGTTTATGAGATTTTGTCTTAAACCTTTATCTTAAAGTATGTTACATTAAGTAAGCTTGATGTCGATTAAAGTTGAAATATATCTAGTACCTTTTTTTTTATTTGATGATAGACTATATTACAATATAACAATTTATACCATGTATATACTAGTATACAAATACATATTGTTATTAAAATATAGATGTCTTCATAGCAGTTACAGAATAATTTGCTTACCGTATTCGACTTTCGTCTGTTGGAGGTACCCATTTCTACGTTTCGCTCTGGAGCCATTGCAAGTTTAAGTGATAATGGTGGCTCGACCACGAGGAATAAACCCCCAAAACATGATAGTTTAGTGATTAAACGTCACCCTCTTCAACCTAAACAACTTCAAATCAATGAAATAGGCAGCTCAGCTGTTTTCGTCATTCAAAGGGACACAACTGCTGAAGGTAAAATATTTACCTTTCGCTTCAAACTGAATCAACAAGTGCATGCACACAGTGGCTTTGTTTAGACTATTGAAGACATCCCGATAAACACATGAGTAAAGAGAGACTCAACATGAAAACCATATTGTATCACGCGACGCGACGACATGTAAAGATGTTAAAATGTGATCACAAAACACACAGAAACTCGGCAAAACCGCAACACGTTAGGATGGCTTTGGAAGGCTTAAGGCGTACATTGTCAACCTTGCATTATATCTAGGAAAAAAATAAAGGATATTTATCTACACGACATGAGACCCTGAGATTGTTTTGGTTAGATTTTCCTGATGCAAACAAGTAGTCGAGGCCTCTTTCAATATAAATGAGTGTGATTGCACCTAATTACTTTATGTATCGTTTCGCTATTATTGATCAGCTTGCAAATTTTCTCATATGTGAATAAATAGCACATCATTTGAGAATATATCATCGACATTCGCTTAAATGTAAACAAACTCGAAATCAAATAAGAACCGAGCCCTGTTTGATTTAACAAAAGTATATAAAAGTTTATGCAAAATATACTATGAAACGCTGGGTTAAACTTTTAGGTTGCAACTTGAAGATAGTGAAGAGAACTTGATGAAAGTTGTAAAATCATCAAGATGAATAATATTGAAATGCGATGGCAATGGGATTTTTTAACAGAAACTAAAGATTGAAGCAAGTATCTGAAAATCGAAACTGTAATTGGCAACGGCGTCTAAGTTAAGCATTGTCTAAACATTAAAGTGAATTTGAAAATATGTATCGGGAAGTGGTAATTAGATCGTGTTTAAAATAACAACCTCTAAGAAATTCAGCGTCAGCAAAACTGAGTTTGTTCTGTTTAGATTTCTCACTGGTGAGGATAGGTGAAATATGCGTGAGGATAGGTGAAATATGCGTTCAAGATTATTGCACTTATATATATAAACCTCTCATCTCCTATGCTATAATGGATGTAGAACCACATGTACCCAGAGTAAAAGAATTAAAATCAATTCAAAATTCATAGAAATTATATGAGATGAGGTTAATTTGTGCTATGTCACGTGACTCTCATGGACTTAGAAAAAGCGTGAGGGTTTTTGCTTCGAAGTGGGGTTTAAGGAATTTATTCTCCCGCTCTGAAATCCACGTGCAGCCTGTCGTCTTCGTGGTGGGGTGTACGGGATTTATTCTCCCGCACAGAAATGTGTTTCCCACCCAGGCGGGATACATATTATTTTGTCACGATCACGTGAACCAATCAGATCGCATCCTTCTGACATGGAGGTATGAAAAAGATCTATTTCAAACTAATAACTTGAGGAAGGACGGGGTCAATTTCAAATCCGTCATATGCTGTCAACAGCATGAATCACAAGGAATATACAATGCTAAAAAAAATTAATATTATTTTTTTTATTAAGTTATATGAAAGAATATTATAAAATCGGAACACTACGTAGATAAAAATCGACATTTTACATTTTGATTTTTCGCTGTTTCCAGCGTTAAGTGTTAAAGGAGGCATGGGCACAAGTGAGAAGATGATTGAGCGAGTTGGGATTGAACAGTATTCAAGTTATAGTGAGTGAGTGAGTTAAAATTTAAAGTCACATCGGCAGTATTTCAGCCATATCGTGATTATCAAATGTTATACAAAAGAAATACATTTAAACTTTAAAATCAACAAAGGACAGTTAAATAACTAGAATATCACATATTATTATCTAAAACTAGCATGTAACCATAAAAACAAATCACTATATATAACAATACATTATTCCAGTTATATCAGCATAATGTGGGAAAGCCCGCCGTGATGCAGGTCGAAGACGCTTACCACTTTAGTGAAACACACGAGCACGGGTATGGTGCTGACAAACCTAGAAACATAATCGGGGTGAACCGGGATTCGAACCCACAATCATAGGTTTCTGGCGTGCCCAAAGGACGCAACTTAGCTCAGCCAATTGCGTCGCCGTAGAAGACTGGGCCAACCGTGATCTGGCTTACTCTTAATCTACATCTAAATATTCACGAAGGTATCAAGATATTATTACAAAATAATTATCTTTTATATGACATAAGGACATACACAGAGTCCAAAGAAGCGTTATTCTTCTAAACGATTATGACAGTTTGCTCGGGGGGAGGAAAGTTATACATTCTTAAATCGCTATAGGACTTACGTATGAATATAATGACAGTACACTTTTGTTCTTAGTTGCAGATTACTCGTGAAGAGAAAACGAATATGTGAGTGATTTGGGTTTAACGCCGCTTTTAACAGTATCACAGTTATATCGTGGCGTGTCAGCTTAATATGGGAGAAAAGCCCGAAGTGATGCAGGTCTCGGACGTTTACCACTTCGGTGCAACCCACGAGCACGGGTATGGTGTTGAAAAACCTAGAAACATAATCGGGGGAACCGCGATTCGAACCCACAATCATAGGTTTCTGGCGTGCCCAAGGGACGCAACTCTGCACAGCGAATTGCGGCGCCTTAGACGACTTGGCCACCCGGGCCCCCACGAATATACGACAGCAAGGTTGTATGTCTATATGTTTGAAAATATATAACGTCAACGCCAGACAATAAATAGTCTCGATTATCCGCTGAAACAGATTCCATGGCAGGTAAAAGGCAAAAGTGCGGTGAAAATGATGACTGGTCACTGAAAACAAATGGTGACACAAAGTTTTCCCGAAAAGGATATTAAGTACGTCCTGCTCTACCCGTAGCAACCGCCGCTAACACAATTTGCAAAAAAATGTTTGTTTGTTCCCTAACGCCGCACAGTAGTACGTCTTCCATATGACAGCGGCCTGTAAACGATCAAGCTTTGACAAGACAATCACTTGACACACTAGCGCATTTACTGATGTTGTTGAAACTAAAAACGATATGCTACTTTTCCAAAACAATCACTGCATATTACCTGATATGTACTTCTCTAGAAAGCTCAAACATACCTCTATATATCACGAGGCCCAGTGATGTCCGGCCAGGGATGCTATTCACAAGGATAAGTGAGTAAATGTGGGTATGGTGGAGTAAGGGAATATCATTTTACCTATATTCGAAACAAATTTGGCTTTTCAAAGTGACGACCACACCATTTAAATCACTTAAAGATAAAGGCTTGCAAAGTATATATACTTATAATCGCATTAAACAATTATTGCAAATACTTAAAATGATTAATTACACTGCTACGTGTTTTGTGAACTGAACTGAACGATTTAATTGTATTTAATTTTATAATGATGAGGTCCTTATACTTATCTCCATGAAATCTTATCAAACAGGGGGCACGGGTGGCCCAGTCGTCTAAGGCGCCGCGATTCGCTGTGCAGATTTGCGTCCCTTGGGCACGCCAGAAACCTATGATTGTGGGTTCGAATCCCGGTTCGCCCCGATTATGTTTCTAGGTTTGTCAGCACCATACCCGTGCTCGTGGGTTTCACCGAAGTGGTAAACGTCCGAGACCTGCATCACTTCGGGCTTTCCTCCCACATTAAGCTGACACGCCGTGATATAACTGGAATACTGTTAAAAGCGGCGTAAAACCCAACTCACTCACTCACTCACTCACTCACTTATCAAACAGAAAATCAACAATCTTCGTAGATTTTTCCGTCCCCCTTTCCGATGTGTCATTCATACGTACACTATCGATATGCTGATTCGTCATGATCATTATCTGAAACACATCAACTTAAATTAACATAAAATCATTGTACCTGAATGTTTCAATTTTGCTACATGTGTATGTGTTTTAAGCTGGCGTTGTATATTTGATACCAAACGCCGTAATAAACACATTGACAACGGTTATGAACATGATGAGAGCCACCGAGGCATTGTTCAAGGAGTTGGCCTTCTTCTGTTCCTCGTCAGTCTTTACCTCCATGGTTCCCAGGACAAAGATGATGATTCCAGTGATGATTTGCAGCGCGATGGACACCGCCAACAACGACAAGGTAGTGTAGAAGAAGCTGTTACGGGCGTCGCCTTCAGGCAGATCCAGCAATGCCTTCAGTTGGGTTGCGTTAGCCATGAGAAGGGCGAAGTCAAGGAGCCCTTCTGCTACCGTCTTCCTTGTAGCGTAGGCTCGCGTTGTGTAGCCGGGCGGGACATCACCGCTCTGAAGACATATTGAGTTTGTGTTAGACATCAGTTTCAATTTCATTAAAATCAAACCTTATAGTCCTCGACAGTTGAAATAGAATCACGAACTAACTAACGAAGACAGATGTAAGTACGCTAATGTTTATAAAGTAAAGACAAGTATTTCCGCCGGTAAGGAATATTACTTAAAATTAAGGATATTTATCTACACGACATGAGACCCTGAGATTGTTTTGGTTAGATTTTCCTGATGCAAACAAGTAGTCGAGGCCTCTTTCAATATAAATGAAGTGATTGCACTTAATAATTTATGTATCCTTTCGCTGGAATTGTTCAGCTTGCAAATTTTCTCATACGTGAATAAATGGCACATCATTTGGAATATATCATCGACCGACATTCGCTTGAATGTAAACCAACTCGAAATCAAATAAGAACCGAGCCCTGTTTGATTAAGCAAAAGAATATAAAAGTTTATGCAAAATATACTATGAAACGCTGGGTTAAACTTTTAGGTTGCAACTTGAAAATAGTGAAGAGAACTTGATGAAAGTTGTAACATCATCAAGATGAATAATATTGAAATGCGATGGCAATGGGATTTTATAACAGAAACTAAAGATTGAAGCAAGTACATGTATCTGAAAATCGAAACTGTAATTGGCAACGGCGTCTAAGTTAAGCATTGTCTAAACATTAAAGTGTATTTGAAAATATGTATCGGGAAGTGGTAATTAGATCGTGTTTAAAATAGCAATCTCTAAGAAATTCAGCGTCAGCAAACCTGAGTTTGGTCTGTTTAGATTTCTCACTGGTGAGGATAGGTGAGATAGGCTTTAACGTCGCGTTCAAGATGATTGCACTTATATATAGCGTTGAATATAACTTACATAAATGTACAAAATTGCAAAATGGGCTTTTCAAGAAATGTTCATTTTTTAAAGCGATTAACATCATCATTCAGTTTTGATTCATTGAGTTTATTACTAAAATACTTTTACCTCCTTGAGTGAGTTTGATTTATCGCTGCTATCAACAGTATTCACGGCGTTTCACTTTAATGAGAAAGACAAGTCCAAAGTGATCTATGTAGTAGACGTTCACAACCTATAAATAATGATTAATGAAAGTACGGCGAGGGACTAATTATTCACGGCGAATCTGATATCCGAGCCCCTTCACAAATCACGTTGAGTCTTCGCAGGGTTAAGGGACGCATAGGTTCCTATAATACTGGGACACTCACGTTGTTACGGTATAGGTTGGTATATAGGAGTAGCCTCGCCTCTTCGGTATGTTTGCTTTCAAATATGTTTCACTTTATCAAACACCAGGTTAAATAAGTACAAAATCGATTCTTACATCTCAAGTCCACAGTAAACAGATGTATGTTATTAGTTCAACAGATCTATCAGAAGGGGCCTGTAATCGTGATCTACAGCCTACAAATGACGTCATGTACCAACACAATCAGGAAATATATCACTGTAGACGGGTCAATATGTGCGTTGTACACCTTTGTTACATAACAACCACGGTATGGTACTATTGAGTGCTTAACACATGCGGGGAAATATAATCTATGACGTTCTGCCTTAAAAACCTGACGTCCTTTGAACATACGACCGTATGGACGTAAGCCGCTGACAACAGTTTGTCAATTGTGAACTAATCTAATTCAACTTGTAAGACACCATTAGTTCGCTACTAAATCGCTCACTTTCAACAACACAATTACAAAAAGTGGACAATGGTCTACATTACATTGTGCGAGAGTTGCGTCCCTTAGCCATGCCCGGATCCTCTGTTCGTGGGTTCAGATCCTAGGTTTTCCTTACAATCCTCAATCAGCACCATGACCAAATACAAAGTGCTAGATGTGTACGCCCTGCGTTTAACTAAACTCACTCATAACAACTAACATAAACAGAAACTATACCTGTGTTGATTGTTTCATATGTTTGATTTTCAATTGGAAATATCGTCAGTTAGCGATAGCATATCCACTCAAAACATACTGTACTGGCGCTTAGTCAGCACTCAAAGAATGTTTCTGGTATCATTATATTGAATATATTTTGATCTAAACAAATTAAAATAAAAACTGCTGATGGGTGTCTGAGACATCTTATCTTGAAAGGTCAATAAATGTTCTTTTTTCGGCACAAATGTTCTACATGGTAGCGGTCATGTGGTTACAAATTAATTTCTTGTCCCAGTCTTCATTGAAACAATTTATTTTTACACAAAATTACCCAGCCACAGATTACTTTTTACAAACTGCTGCGGGGATGTTTAAATAGACATAACCAAACGAAACAACAGTCCTTTCAACTTTCAATTACAGAAAAAACAAACTCGGTATTTACTTTCTTTTGCCCCCCAGTTTATGACAAAGACTATCGGCTTAGCCAACTGCGTGTATGGGGAACTGACAGGAGTCTTTAGACAAGGACCTTTGTTACCGCTGCGCAGGGATAGGTGAGGTGAAATTGGGTTTAACGTCGCGTCCAAGATAATTGCACTTATATAGCGACGTGCATGTACGTGTGTGTGTTTGTGTGGCTGCTTGTACTAGTCCGGACTGATGCCGATTTATAGTGCTAGCTCACTGAGATACCATGCCGCAGTTTAACATGAATACCCCACTCAGACACAGTATACTGACTCCGAGCCGACCAGTCCTTGTTTTAGCCCCTTAATGCCGAGCGCCAGACAGGGTAACAACAAGTACCATCTTTTAACGTCTTTTGGTATGACGCGGCCGGGGATCGAACCCCGGACCTTCCGCTCTCCGGGCGGACGCTCTACCACAAGACCACGGAGGCGGTCCTCCGCAGGGATAGGAACAGGGTTCGTTATAGCCGGTATGCAGCTACGACTACATCCATTTCAATTTCTCACACAAAACAAGGGAATTTGGCCAAGAAGTTTAACTCAAGCTTCGGATATCATTAAAAAATGGTCATATAGCCAATTCTCTTCCACTGACTTAACCACCTGAGCCAAAAATAAGCTGATCAGTGAAACCGCAACATCTGTTTCATATTTATATCTATGGATACTGATACAGGGTGACATGTGTTTGTTTGCTTCTTGTTGTTTAACGCCGCACTCAGCAATACTTCACCTTTATGACGGTGGTCTGTAACTAATAATCGAGTCTGGAGCAGACAATCCAGCGACTGATATCATGAGCATCGATCCATGCAATTGGGATGCGATGACATGCATCAACCAAGTCAGTGAGCCTGACCACCCGATCCCGTTGGTCGCCTCTCACGACAAGCTTAGTCGCCTTTTACAGCATGCATGGGTTGCTCAGAGTGACAAAAATATATCCACAAAAATGTATGGCAAGAGGGGATTGGCTGGCTTTTTGACCACCATTGAACAATATCTGATTTGCGATGTACCTGAATCCTGAGTCCAACTTCCCTTTTTTTATTTTGCCAACCCGAGAAGACATTCCTATTCATTTGCCAAAAGAAGCAGATCAGCAGGAAGGGGAGCACAGTTGGTGCCCATGAGGATGCCTAGGTCTTGCCTAAGTGTCCTATCCCCAAAAATCAAATAGTTGGTATCTGTCAGGAAGTCCAGCATCTCAGATATTATTTTTTAGGTACTTCTACTTTTTAACTTCGCTACTAAAATATACATCACTATAAACGTCTGGGTTAAAAGCGGGAATGTGAGTGAGTGAGTATGGTTTTACGCCGCTTTTAGCAATATTCCAGCAATATCACGGCGGGGGACACCAGAAATGGGCTTCACACATTGTACCCATGTCGGGATTCGAACCCGGGTCTTCGGCGTGACGAGCGAACGCTTTAACCACTAGGATACCCGACCGCCCCAAAAAGCGGGAATGTATACAGCGATCATACCCTAACATAAGAAATGTTATATTTTGGATAACACTTTCTTTGTAAAGTACAGATTCTTGTACTTTTTTGGATTGAGTCCCGTCTGGGATTCGAACCCACACTGCATGTTTGTGTGCTGGCGATTAGGTGCCTCACTCTGGTAGTGTGGGTTCGAATCCCGGACGGGACTCAATCAAAAAAAAGTACGAGAATCTGTACTTTACAAAGAAAATGTCATCCCAAATATAACATTTGTTACATTGGACCACTTTCTAAATGGCATTGTGTGTTCATGGTTCATACCCTGTAATGCAAATCGTAAAATTAATAAGAGCAGGAAATTAATGTCAGGTTCACTGCACATTCTGGAAACAATGACATAAATAACAAGGCTACCTATAAACAAAGAAATTGTTGCATTGGATTTAGTATACCAGTATTACCCACTGCTACCTTGTGAACTATTTTACAAATCACGTTCTTTCTCGTGTCAGGAGTGTCAAATCACTTTGTCGTTGGGTAAAATGAAACAAGGGTAATTTTTATGTTGACAATGAATTCCATTTTAGCCTGTTTAGATATTACAGAAGAAGAAAAATAGTTTATCATTGTGTCACATATTATATATTAATGATGTGCAACAATATAGGACAAAATTAAAAACTTTGATAAAATATACAACATCCGGCCAACAGGCCTATGAGACACACAGCACAATACAGTACATAATAAAATGAATTTTTTTAATAAAAAATAAAGACGATACATACAAAGACCTAATCGCAGTACAATCTGTAATATGATACTAATATTATGGATATATAAGGCAAATATTACCCGCTAAGGCTACTCCTACGGCGCAAGTACATTTGCCTTACTAGGGCGGCTAAGGGTTTAATAAACTTCTTGCTTTGTAAAAGGAACACGGCCTGGTTAACAGGAGATAGAGTAATAAACAATGGTTCTGATCTAATTATTTCCAGCCACAAGTCGTACCTTAAATCTGAGTAAAAACTACAACAGATCAAAAAGTGAACTTCATCCTCCACACAATCAATATTACAAAAATTTCATGTCCTATTTTGCAGGTAATTTTTATGTTGACAATGAATTCCATTTTAGCCTGTTTAGATATTACAGAGTGTGAGTCCCCGAGTTCCCTGCTGTAGTGTTGACATACCTTCGGGGTGCCCTGCGAGTCCTGAGTTCCCACTGTCGCCATTATGAAATCATAAGATTATCATCTAAATTCCGGACAGGTTTTCGTCCAAAGTGAACCTCTCCAACTGACTTCTTGACTTTGAATTATTCTCAGAGGCGCAATATTTCAGGCATTCAACCAAGTTGTAGAATCACACGAGAGAAACCCTATTTCAGATCAATAAGACAGACATTTCACAGATAAACTCCCGTTCCTACGAGCTGACATCACAGATTGTTACCGCCTGTCGCTAAATACAAGCCTGCTAAATTTACACATTACACGCCATGTAAAACTACAACTCGAACCCGTCGACAGCGGGCGAGATAAAACTGTAAATCTAGGGTGGACGAAACCACTGTACACCCGTCAGTACATTACTGATAACAAGGCTGCTCGGACTGACACATTCCATAGACTTGCAGGACAAATTGTGGTAATAAATTTCTCCCTTATCAGGCCAAGTGTTGTCTTCTTCATCGATCTGGGCGGCGTGGTGGTGTATTTTTGTGTCTTACATTGTCATGTGTCATGCTTGTACTGAAGGTGAGGTAAACACGACCGTCACGTGATAGACATTTGGGGTTGCACGTCATCTACCGAGGCTATGCTGTCACTGAAGGTGAAATTTACAACGTCATCCCAAGGAAGTTACAACAAAACAAAAAGTCATAAAACAGTCATGTGTTAATCCAACGTGCAGCCATCATGGAATAGACAGCGTTTTTTGTAACAGGATCGATGGGTAAACGGATGTTCCGTGTAAAGGACTTTAAAGTCTCACAATCGACCAGTAACATACATTATCGCCGTAACCATACTAACAGCATTCAGCTTACAAAACGTTAGATTGCTATTGGTACTGATTGTGAATTTGCCCTAAAACCCCTGTCACTCTCTTGAAGACAAACAAGCACGTGATATCATGGAATAGAAAGTCTTTGATGGTACAGTAGAACATGGATATAACGAACTACAAGGACCTGAGAAATCAGTTCGTTGTATACGTTGTTCGTTATATACGTTTTCGCTCGGAAACGTCCGCCATCTTGGATAAAACAAAAAACATTCGACATCATTGCAGCATTGACTTGTATAAGAAGTGATCACCTCAAAGCATTCAATTGATATCATTCATAACATAATCATTCATATAATAACATAAACTTCATAACATTTTAGAACATTGTTTATCAAATGTATGTGCATATTTAGCATTTCACGATTTTTAGAGAGATGTGCAGACGCTGATTTTGATCTGGCCTCGTTTCGATGACTGCATTCGTGAAACCGCATCGTCGAGATCAGCTGTCAAATAAAGTCATCTCTGTTAGTTTTTGTATGTTCAGGAAAATCTTGAGTGTTTCAAGAGCCTTATTGGCATCGGCAAAAGAGGATGTGGATGGTTCCACACAGTCGATCCCGTCTTGAGTGCCTTTATCATCTGAATCTGCTCGGCTAATGCCGTCACGCTTTCAACAATCGACTGGACAATGTACGTTACTTACCTGTACGGTTTCATTTGTCCTTATTGCAGGTTGAGCAACCATGCTGAAAAGACGCTCTCGTGAAAATGATAAATCTTAAACATACTGATGGAAATTAAATAAAGGGAACATTTGGTTTTAGACAGAGTAAAATGATATGCTATCATGGCTTCCCAGCCATGTCCACCAAATACACCTTAGAAAAAATGCACACAAAAAGCATCCCAACCTTTGTTTCTCCCTTGTGCTGAATTTGTATACACGCTTTTTGAAATGTACTGACAGTAGAGCTTATATTCCTATATGTTGTATTGTTCCCTTATTCGTTTCCGTCATTAAATATACCACTGAAGGTAATTCATTGTAATATGTGCACACAGGTATCATTTTTCTTTAGACCGCACTCAGCAAAAATATAATGGAGTCTGGACAAGACACAAGTAACCAAGACATGAGCATCGATCCACGCATTTGGGATCGATGACATGCATCAACCAAGTCAGCGAGCTTGACCACCCGATCCCGTTAGTCGCCTCTTACGACAAGCATAGTCGCCTTTTATAGCAGGCATGGGTTGCTGAAGACCTTTTCTACCCCGGATCTTCATGGTTCCTAATATGTTCCATGGTGAAGTGATCGAGGAAGCGGACACCAGTTCACATTTTATAGTTTATTAAGCGCTTTTAAATACACATATACACATTCAAACAAGTACAAATGATGTAGTTATTATGAAATGATATAATCACACACGTTCGCAATAAATTGTTTAATACTGTGATATAAATTGAAAGACAATTTTTATGTGTACATATTTCATCATCCATAACATTTAACGATGACAATGATTTAACACACAGACTGGTGACAAACATCACATGCCTGAAAGTTGAATTAATGTTAAAATATGAAATATACCATAAGTGTATTGGACAAGGCCATTTATAGGATTTTATCAATGGATAATTACTATCGTGAGATGGATATACGAACATATACTAACACATACACCATATTACTTATGGAGAATGATGTATAGTGAGTGAGTGAGTTGGGTTTAACGCCGCTTTTAACATTATTCCAGTCATATCGCGGCGTGTCAGCTTAATGTGGGAGGAAAGCCCGAAGTGATGCAGGTTCCAGACGTTTACCACTTCGGTGAAACCCACGAGAACGGGTATGGTGCTGACAAACCTAGAAACATAATTGGGGCGAACCGGGATTCGAACCCACAATCATAGGTTTCTGGCGTGCCCAAGGGATGTTCTCTGCTCAGCGAATCGCGGCGCCTTAGACGACTTGGCCCCCCGGACCCCCACGAATATATGACTGCAAGGTTGTATGTCTATATGTTTGAAAATATTAACGTCAACGCCAGACAATAAATAGTCTCGATTATCCGCTGAAACAGATTCCATGGGAAAATGATGTATAATCATATATGGTTGATATGCATATGTGACAAGGTGTCAGTGGCTGGTAAATATATTTCATGTTACAAAGATAACAATATTGACGAGTTCAGAAATCAGTATCTTTTGGATTTGATCTGATATACACTTTGTAATCGTTATTTCACTGAACGAAGAGATCAACACGCTTCACGCACTGTGTCATGACATGAGATGCCTCCTCTTTAGTACAGAAGACGTGCTAGTCAGAAATATCCTCTGTAAAACTGATCCCGAACCCTGTAATGAAGGTATTGATGAAAGCTATGGTAGCAATGAGACCGATTGATACATTGCTGAGAGTTTTAGCCCGCCCCTCTTCCTCCTCACCATCCGGCACTATAGTTCCCATGACGAACATGATGACCCCCGTCACTAACTGCAGCAACAGGGACAGCCCCAGCATCACCACCAGCGGCCAGAACGTCCACGTCCTCAGCTCAAACGGGACCTCAAGGACTGACCTCAACTGAGATGTGTTGGCCAACAACAGGGCTAGGTCAAGGAAACCTTGTGCCACAGTCTTTTTTGCTGAGTACGACTTGGAGGCGAGGTTTGGCGGAACGTCCGTCTGAAATATATGACCATTCTTGCTGTGAAATATGATGTTCAACATTAACTTAATCCTGAACATCTTATTACTGTGATCAATAAACCAAGTGACAAAATAGGTAAGAGCAAATGTAAATTTATATGACAACCTGTTTTTTTGCAACCAGGTCTGTCTGAAATGCTGTAAACGAGGGGTATATTTAAGTTGTCCCAACATATATATATGCACAAGTTATATTAATAGTAAACGTCAACGCCTGATAATAACCAGTATCGATTATACGCCGAAACAGATCCAATGGGCGTAAAAGGCAAATAATGATAAACAAATTATACTCCTTACACACTTCAGTATTATTGTCATAAACGTTGCGTATGACGAAACTAAACCGACGGTTTTATTCAGTTTCAACTCATTCTAATCCTTCATGCGTTAGGGGTCTACTTAATCAAATCTCTGCAGCGGTTACTGAAACAAACACATGTCTACTGGTTAATTTAACGTAGCCACTTTTACCTACCATTCTGCTGTCGGGTCCAGTTTATACGAGTCCTGTTGTAGTTTGATATCGATCGACAGTCACATAGTAGACTTTTCACTTGGCGTGGGGAGTCACTCTTTGTTAACCTAGATTGCCAAACGCAGGGAACGAGATCCGTCACTAACGTTTCTTTCGATAAGAGCTACAGTGATATTTACGAGGCTATAAAAATAGGTTGACGGGTGTAACGCATTGAAGACTGATAAGCTTTGTGACCCAAATAAAACCAAAAAAAGAGCATCTATGTAGAAAGTTACACCCAGGCGCGTCAAAACATTCGGTTTAACTAACTACATGTATGATGATAGGGGTTCGAAATCCCTCTCATGGAATAGCAACGTGTATCGCCCTACCTGAAAATGTGAAACGCCCATACATGAAAGTATATTGAGTGAGTGTGTTGGGCTTAAAGCCGCTTGAACAGTATTTTAATTAATATTAATTACCACGTGTCAGTTTCATGTGAGAAGAGAGTTAAACCCAGTGTGTTGGGTTCAGGGCCGCTTATACGAGAGACTTCATGCTCCATAGCCACCAGAATAAAAGAACACAAGACATATGTTGAAAAATCTGACATGGAATCTGCCCTTCCGGAACATCTCCTCAAACATCCTGAACACCATATTCCCTGGCAACAAACCAAGATTCTCCATACCAACATTAGTCAATGGAAAAAGAAAAACATAAAGGAACTACTGAAATCCAAAGAAAGAAGCCAGCCATTAACAGAGACCATGGCATCTACCTACACAGCTTACTCCACTGTGCTTTAATCATACCATCAACCACAAATAGACATCTTGATTGTCTTCTCGTTAGTGTCACCATAGTCAGCTCATGCTTATTACACCTATCCTTACATTACACCTGCATTTTACTTAACTGGGATGTCTGATAATCTGTTTCGGGTATACTTTTTCACTCATATACGAAAACAATTCTAAGACTCCCGTAGATTTCATGTTGGAAAAAATGCTATTTGGGGCAAAGTTTGGTTTAATGAGAGAAGACAAAAGAAGTTACAAGTGTAGTACTATACTCCTGCTCTATTCCCTTTTCAGCCAAATACAAGTTCCACCCACCCATGCTTAACTCTGTCCTAGGAAGCAATAAAGGTTATGGCGGCGGTGAGGGCTAAGTAATTTACAACCGTAACATGTCCAGTCTAAAGAGAAGAACTTCTCCCAACTGTTGTTCTCATCAAAGAATTGTGATATCTTCAGCAACAATTTTGTTTGTTGTGTTATGTTGTAATAAAATTGAGTTGTGTGTTGCCCTTTTCATTTCACGGGCGAGTACACATTGCCTCATGCGCTGTATTTTGGTAACGATGATACTTTCTGAAATCTCCCAATGACAAACATCTTGCACTGATGTTGTTATTGTGATATTTCTGATAATACCCAAGGGTCGACTTAGAGAATAGGCAACTAAAAACAGCATCAGTTGCGATGCAATATGAAACATGTATATCACATGACACGTTTGTAGGGCCGAAATCGCATAGAAGTTATGTTAAATGACCAGAGGTTTAGAAAGCTTTATGTGAGCAGATTGTTATTTATTCCATACACTTCTTTCAACACACTGGTCTCAGCAACATGGTAACCCAGGACTTCTGTGGTTTACTGTATTTTTGTTAGTGGATTCCAAGTGTTTTCATCTTTGGTTTCCATTCAGTTTCCAGTTTCCAAAATCGACCGGCGCGGATGCAATTATATGATAAATATTTAAAAGACATTGCACAGTTGGTGCGCATTTAGCTATAGAAACAGTTTTACTTTTTGTGTATTTGTATTTTAGACATATACGGTCACAGACTGGTTATTTTTAAATATATATATTTAGCTGCCGATGCTATGCTACTCATTATATTGAAACATAAAATGTTTCCATTGAAAATACAAACAATGAGACGGATAACATGGCAAAAATATACATGCAGATAATAGAACACGTTGACCACCAAGTCACTTGATACAGTAAGCGTTATACACGATGGACATGATGTTTACTAAGCATCCACGACTTTCATCACTAAAAGGGCGTAAAAAGTTAGATTGATACTTAAACGACTGGAATACTAACACTTATATGTTATCTGGGACTCTCTATTATTCTCTATTGTAACAGGTTTGATGTCACCCCTGAAGCCGGAACAAAGAAATATAACATACGAGATGAACAAATAGTTTCTCGTTCATGATACAGAATGTCTGCGCATGTTTTACAGAATCAAACGCCTTACATCAACAATTTTTACAAACAGTGAATCAATTACTGGTATGCTTGAATCGTGTTAACTTATGTGTATACAGTACTTAATACGTCATAGTATTGTTACTAGTACCTATCAGAACTGGCAATACCATCTAAATAATAATTCACAACTGGAATATACAACTAATTTTCTGGAAATATATACCAAGATGAACAATTTCAACTTAGAAATACTGTAGAGAATTGTTAACAACATTAACTGTTTCCAATATAAACTTTCAGGTAACTGTCTGAAAACTATGCTGACTTAAACATTATTAAGTGTAAGATATTTCCTACATACAATGGGTAAGATTTAACAGACCTATTGTCCACATTAATAACATTATGAATAAACTCATCAATGATACTTTCTCTGACACATAATACTCTGAAGTCATAGATTGACTACAGTTGTTATATTTACATAAAACTGTACTATTAAAGGGCTATCCTTGACTGAAGTCCATGTCTGACAACTAACAATAATCACTGATGAGTTATCTCCCTTTACATGATAAAATGCATACAAATACTCAAAATGTTTGATCACACTTGATATCAAATTTATCAAACTTGACCTGAAATTATTTAACTTGACCTCTGAAATACTATTAACACTATCATACACAAGATACGGAACCCTGTGCTTGTTTGAACACAAACTGAAAGAAACGTTTTCAACTGACAGCTGATTGTTAAGAGACGGGACAGTATTATCTCCCCTTAATATGAATGCAACTGTTATTCCTTTGCAAAGATAATTATTCTATAACAATGCTGTAACCCTTATACTATACATGTATTTACAAAGAGACTACTGCACAAACATATCTGTCAACATTGGACAAATGAATACTTTCATCTGCGTAAAAACGTGTGAAAACTTTCTCATTCACTTCACAATGCAAAACGCACTACAGTGTATGCACTGATTCCTCACCTGAAACCAATGAAATAGAATTGATGAGATGAACAAATACTTTCTTGTTCACGATTTAATACAGAATGTCTTCGCATGCGTTAAGCCCATATGTCAGTCATGTACTGTTTACCCGAAACAAATTATGCAATCGTAGGCTTCTGATTAATAAAAATTTCTTTACAACCTGATATAATCTTAAATCGTGTCTATAACACAAATCTGTTCCAAGAAAACAGCATAAATCAACTTAAGAGGGGTTTTAATCTCAGTTAACGTAATAACCTATGATCTACCATGATAGTTATAAAACTATCATAAATTTTTTAAGAAAAATAATAGTAATTTTGACACTGTTATAGTTGCAAGACAGCACCGTTCTCAAAGCGCTCTTGCCGTCATGGTAGAATGGAATTAAGCCTCCTGTGTTTTGACATTTGAAGTTGTCCCACTGCAGAGTAGATACTTCTTATTTATACATTTGAAACCTCAATCTAAAGCGATCAGCCTACGATAAATTCCGATGTCAAATAAAGACGTTATTTGGACGGAAAACCGGTGGTTAGAAAGCGTCAAAAAAACGTCGATTTTCGTCCAATGCCCACATACGGCAAAAAAACGACGTTTGCAGTGATTCGCGGAATTATTAGCAATGGTACATCTATTACATCAGCGTTTAGAAGACTATTTTTATGAGAATTGAGAAAATGAAAAAAGTGTCTTTTACCTTAGAGCGTAATCGACGAAAGCTAATAAAGCATACCTTCAAGATAAGGAAAAAAAAACCCTTAAAAGAATAAATACGTCAGCAACCTACATGCAGCTTTAGTGTCTCCTTCAGTCACCATGAAAGTTCTGGGTTTGATAGTTTTAGTCTCCACCATATTTATGGTCGGGGCCATCTTCGACGAAGGTAATATGTCACAATTCAATTGCACCAAGCCGTTCGAGATCATCTCAAGGGACATGAACAATCTTGCCTCATACATCCGCTGCCGCTTCTACATCCCCCGTCGAGAGACATGTCCCAAAGAACAGATTCTGAGTCTTCGTGCTAAGCGATGTGTGTACCCATCACGTCTAGTCAAGCTGTGCGATCGTAAGTACTGCGTCAGTCACTGGATTGCCTGGTCCAGACTCGATTATTTACATATTACGCCGTCACATAGCTGGAATATTGCTGAGTGCGGCATTTAACAAACAAACAAATACTGCATTATGGGTTCTATTTTGGTTGTATTTTTGTATTACTGATTTTGTTGCAGATGTTGTGAGTGTTATAAATTCCTCACACTATAAAATCGTCAAATCATTTTGGAATATTGCTATTCGCGATAGACGTTTGGTGAAGTTAAAAAATACCATCAAAATCAACGAAACTGACAAAGTGGTGCCCCTTACTTCAAGATTGTAATGTATTTAATTGTTTTATGAACTGAGCGATCATAGATTCTTGTTGTTGATGTTGTGTTTGTATTTTGTCTCGCCATTACCCCCGGAAGATTTAGACATGGATTGATCAACATACTGTGACACGTAAAGATCCGGGGTAGAATAGGTCTTCAGCAACCCAGGCCTAGGCTTGCCGCAAAAGGCAGCTATGCTTGTCGTAAGAGGCGACTATCGGGATCGGATGGTCAGGCTCGCTGACTTGATGCATGTCATTGTATCCCAATTGCGTGGATCGATGTTCATGATGTCAGTCACTGGATTGTCTGGTCCAGACTCGATTCGTCGGGCAGTTAATGGAAGACCTCAGGCTTCTGCAAATGCTAATGCCCCGAAAAAGAGCGTTACCCTTAGAATAACCTTAGTTTGGTTGAATGAAAGAAGATAAAAGAAGTTACAAGTGTAGTACTATATTCCTGCTCTATTCCCTTTTCAGCCAAATACAAGTTCTACCCACCCATGCCTAACTCGGTCCTGGGACGCAATAAAGGTTATAGCGGCGGATAATGAAAGTAATTTTCAACCTTAACATGGCCCGTCTAAAGAGAAGAACTTCTCCCAACTGTTGTTCTTTTGTACTCATTAAAGAATTGTGATATCTTCAGCTGCTACAAAATATTTTGTTTGTTGTGTTATGTCGTAATATAATTGAGTTGTGTGTTGCCCTTTTACTTCACTGGCGAGTGCACATTGCATCATGCGCAATGTATTTGTAGCGATGATACTTTCGGCAAACTCCCAATGACAAACATCTTGCACTGATGGTATTGTGATATTTGTGACCGAACTTAATTTATATGAGGGCAAATCTTTTGCAATACAAATGATAATGTTTATGAATGAGTGAGTGAGTTGGCTTTAACGCCGCTTTTAATAGTGTTCAAGTTATATCACGGCATGTCATCTTGATGTGAGAGGAAATCCTGAAGTGATGCAGGTCATGATCACAGACGTTTACCACTTTGGTGAAACCCACGAGCACGGGTATGGTGCTGACAAACCTAGAAACATAATTGGGGCGAACCGGGATTCGAACCCACACTCATAGGTTTCTGGCGTCCCAAAGGGATGCAACTCTGCACAGCGAACTGCGGCGCCTAAGACGACTGGGCCACCCGTGGCCCTTAATGTTTATGAAATTGTTAGGGAGATGTTTGATGGCGAACAGTCAATATTTTCATTGTTTGTTTGTCTGTTGTTTGACACCGCACTCAGCAATATTCCAGCTATATGACAGCGGTCTGTAAATAATCTAGTCTGGACCAGACACTCCAGTGATTGGCATCATTAGCATCAATCCACGCAATTGGGATCGATGACATGCGTTAATGTTGAACCACATCATATATCAGAGTTGTGATCCTTCTCCGTGTAACTTGTCAGAGGCATAAATATTGTAAACAAAAACATTTGCAGCAATTGACAGTTGTGAGGTGTCAGTAAGCATGATGTAGGTCAAGTTCTACCACATCCCAGTTCCAAGCGGAGAGGTATTTATTTTGAATTTGTATTATTTACTGGGTGTTACTGCTAACTACTGAGAATCACACATTTAAAATAACTGGCAGCATGTTTATCACTAAAGTTTGTTGGGGAAATAATTCGTTCAGTATTTTTTAAAACTATTTCTTTAACCTGTTATCCCTGCAATGCGATTTGGCAAATTCGATTTAAAAGAAATTACCTGTCCAGCTGATTTCCAAGAAATGACTTGGTGGGTCATAACAGTGCATAACAGGTTGCGATGAAATTAAAATATACATCTTTGGACTTTGGAATTTGATGTAGTCCCACTGCAGAGAAGATACTTCTTATTTATACATTTGAAACCTCAATCTAAAGCAATCGGTTTAAAATTAAAATAAGAGGTATCTCCTCCACAGCGGGAGGAAGTCTGCCTCTTTTCTGCCTCCTTTGAGCTACCTGTAGTGCCTCCTCAGCCTGCCTATAAATAGAGGGCTTGTACCTGCAGTGTTTCATTGTGGTTGCAGACGCTGAAAAACTCGAGCATTTACTGCTGAACAACTGCTGGAGCAGTTACATAGAAACAAGAGATTCTGGGTTTAGGCGACCATTGAGCGTCCTGGCCAGTTTTTGATAGCTCGAAGGTGGCACAAAGGTCGCAGCCCTGTGTAATGGGGGCTCAACAAACGAAAGACGATGTCGTATTGGCCAGTAGCAAGATTAATATGTTATTCAATAATTTTTAGTAACATTGGATGTATACAAGAAATATTTTTATTGCCTGAAGACAGGATAGCGAGTCTGAAAAAAATAATGAATTCCTTATGTTTCTGTTGTTTATTAATATATTCTGGAGCAGTTAAAATGGCCTTCGATTCAGCTGTAAAAATTGATGAGTCATCTGGTAATCTAGTTCATATATACTAGCCACATAAAGGAACTGTGCACGGAGATGATCGGACCATAAGAATATGTCAACGGGACCTGAACAACATCTGTTACGATGACGTCAGAAGATCAAAATGGAGTAGGGGGTCAAACGACAAAGTCACATAGTCAATAACGGGTATGACCACCCTGTGCGTGAATCACAGCAGTGCATCGGCGACGCATGGAGTCCACCAAATGGGCATGGAAGGCCTGGGGAATGGCCTGCCATATCCTCCTCAAATCCTGTGCCAAGTCACGGACGTTATCTGGAGGATGTAGAAGACGACGCAGACGGCGCTCCATTTCATCCCACACATGCTCTATTGGGGAGAGATCTGGAGAAATTGCAGGCCATGGCAGTAACATGACATTGTTATGGTGAAGAAAATCCATTGCGACCCTAGCCGTGTGAGGACGAGCGTTGTCCTGTTGAAATGTCAATCCCGGGCCATGACGTTGCAGGAAAGTTTTGAATTTTTGAATGACCACAGATCATGCTTTCCAAAGTGACAGCGAATTTTGAGTTGCACATGCTGTGCACAGCTGCACAGGATGCACGTGCAGTAACACATTGCACGTCCATAGGCCCCAATCAATTACGTCATATCGCATGGCACGTGCATGAGCGTTTGAATGTCTCCAATAATTGCTGTGTTCAAACCTATATTTCATATATGGACGGTGTGCCCTTATATCTATATTTTCTCATCGGCCTCAATGTACAAACTGTCAGTAGGAGACGTTCGGAAAGATCCATGACAGTTGGTTGGTTTGTTTTTTAACGCCGCACTCAGCAATATTCCAGCTATATGACGGCTGTCTGTAAATAATCGAGTCTGGACCAGACCATCCAGTGATTAATATCATGAGCATCGATCCATGCAATTGTGATCGATGACATGCATCAACCAAGTCAGCGAGCCTGACCACCCTATCCCGTTAGTCGCCTTTTACGACAAGCAGAGTCACCTTTTACGGTAAGCATGGGTTGCTGAAGACCTAACCCGGATCTTTACGGGTCAACAGGCCTCAGATGTTGGTCTTAAGAGTATCATTATTTCACAGCAGTCTTCCTACACTGAATGTTGCTTAACGCCCCACTACACAGTATTCCAGCTACAGGATCGGCTGTGGATCAGACAATACAATGGAACATTGCTGAGTGCGGCGTTAAATAACAAGCAAACAAATCGGAGTCCTGTTGCATATAAATATGTTTGGTAACATACATCTTCCTACTCGCCATAAGAAATTATAAGGGTAACATGCAGGTTAATGATTTTATTACAACACAAGACAACAACAAAATACAAGATAGCAGCTGTGACATCACAAAGGTTTGATGTGAATACGATACATCATTGGGGTAAGGTTCTTCTTTTGTTTCGACGGGACTTGTTAAGGTTGGAAATTACCCGCCCTTACCAGCCCTTACGTCCTAAGGCGGAGTGAGGCATTGGTGAATTGAACTTGTTATTAGCTGTAAAAGAAATAAAACTGCAAATACAGATAAGTTCTTTCATATGTATTTAAGCATCAAAACACTCTAAGGGCTCAGTCACACATTCAGGATTTTAACTGCCGTCCTTGAGAGGACCATTCCCGATAAACTTCCTCGCTATTACGGACTCGCGAACATGACAAGAGGTTGTCTGGTCCAGAGTCGCTTATTTACAAGTCGACGTCATATAGCTGGAACAGCATTAAGGAATAAACAAAAGCAGACCTTTCTCGTCTGTAATTCCCACTCGTACCTGTCATGCGCATTTTGTGTCCCACATGCTACCCAAAGTTTGTTTGTTTGTTTTTTAACGCCGCACTCAGCAATATTCCAGCTGTAAGGCGGCGGTCTGTAAATAATCGAGTCTGGACCAGACAATACAGTGATTGACATAACGGGCATCGATCAGTTGGGATACGATGACATGCATCAACCATTTCAGCGAGCTTGACAACCCAATCCTATTAGTCGCGTCTTACGACAAGCATAGTCGCCTTTTAGGGCAAGCACGGGTTTCTGAAGACGTAATCTAACCCGGATCTTCACGGGTCGCTAACCAAAGAATATCTTGGCTGAAACAACATCACACAGTTTGACAAGACTACGACACCAACAACGATAAGTACGTCCACACAGTTTGACAAGACTACGACACCAACAACGATAAGTACGTCCACACAGTTTGACAAGACTACGACACCAACAACGATAAGTACGTCCACACAGTTTGACAAGACTACTAAACCAACAACGATGTCCTTACTCACGTTTGCAGAGTTTGTAGTAAAATGGTACCAGGCCCACCAAACGATTTACGAAAAATATAACAGGGGCGGGAGAATAAAGCCATGTTTAAATCATACGCTCGTCACACTGCTGTGCTATTGCTGGAATAATCTGGAAGCGGCAGAAGACCATACTCACTCACTCATTCAAGAATAAAACTGCGACAGTGGTACTTACGATCGCACCGTTTGACAAGGCTCGAAGGGTACACGCATCGCTTAGCACGCAGACTTAGGATCTGATGTCGGGGACATGTCTCTTGACGAGGAATGTAGAAACGACAGCGGATGAATGAGGCAAGATTGTCCATTTGCCTGCTGATGATTTCAAACGGTTTCGTGCAATTGATGTTTGCCAGTGGACCTGTTTCATTAAAGATGGCCCCGACCATAGACATGGCGGAGACTACAACAGCCACCCAAAGAAACTTCATCTTGACTGAAGGAGGGCAGTGAATCCTTGTTCGAGCAGCTGAGCTTTATATTGCGTTTTGCCACATTTTGTTATCTTTCACCTCATGGATTATTAGGTTCGAATTATGCAAAAGGAAATAAGAAATTTCTGGTGACGATTTAATGTTATGTTTAATAGATCGATAAATGATATGAATAAATCTCCCTTCAGGCACCCCCGTGGCTAAATTTGTAAATAAAAATAGTTTCAGGTCGATTAGATTTTAACATTAAAAACCCACCCAACCCGACTAGTCCTTCTTTTGTTAGGAAGGGGTAGAAATAGAAATAGAAATAGAAGGGGTCTTGGCCATGCTTGTCGTAAGAGGCGACTGACGGGATCGGGTGGGATCGGGTGGTCAGGCTCGCTGACTTGGTTGATGCATGTCATCGATCCCAATTGCGTGGATCGATGCTCATGATATCAATCACTGGATTGTCTGGTCAAGACTCGATTATTTACAGACCAGACCGCCGTCATTTAACTGGAATATTGCTGAGTGCGGCGTTAAACCGCAAACAAACCAAACAAACCTTAGTCCTGTAGCTCCATCCCTTGGTGTCTACATTTCACAACGTTAGCGGGGCGGTCGGGTAGCCTAGTGGTTAAAGCGTTCGCTCGTCGCGCCGAAGACCCGGGTTCGATTCCCGACATGGGTACAATGTGTGAAGCCCATTTCTGGTGTCCCCCGCCGTTATATTGCTGGAATATTGCTAAAAGCGGCGTAAAACCATACTCACTCACTCACAACGTTAGCTGTGCAGTCGAGCATGCTGTTTCCACAAGATTTCAAAAAGTGTCATACTACTCTTGCTCAGAAGTTGTTTGATCAAGGTCACAATGAATAGGCCTCATTAAGTCTTTCAAACAGTTTTATGGTGGACATGCGGGGACATTTCCAAATTTGTGACAAAAATGATGCAAATCCCTAGTTTGACTAGTCTTGTACTGTATGTCCTCATGTTTTTGCAGGTGAACAATTGACTTGCCTTTGCATGTGATTGCGACGGGTGTCACCGGCTGAGCAGGATATACTAACCTTTTCGCGAACAGGTATCATAAACACATGCCCATGGTATGGTCGGAATCGTAAGTCTGTGTTTGGCAGAGATTTCTTATGAATATGGACAGGGGATTCGGGGCGTCATGACCAACGGATAACGTCAACAGCATCACGTTACTACACAGTTTTGAGATTTTTCTCGATGACAGGCATCAACCAAGTCAACAAGCCTTACCACCCGATCCCGTTAATCGCCTCTTACGACAAGCATAGTCGCCTTATACGGCAAGCGTGGGTTGCTGAAGACCTATTCTAACCCGGATCTTCACTGGTCCTACCAAGACGTGCTTGCCGTCCGAGAATGATCGCTTCTCATTAAATTAATTACCAGAGTGTCTGGTGCAGACTCTCGATATTTCTTGGCCATGTATACCTAACATACCATTGCATTCAGAGGGACCCGTGAAGATCCGGGGTAGAATAGGTCTTCAGCAACCCACGCTTGCCGTAAAAGGCGACTATGCTTGTCGAAAAAGGCGACTAATTGGATCGGGTGGTCAGGCTCGCTGACTTGGTTGATGCATGTCATCGATCACAATTGCGTGGATCGATGCTTATGATGTTAATCACTGGATGGTCTGGTCTAGACTCGATTATTTACAGACCGCCGTCATATAGCTGGAATATTGCTGAGTGCGGCGTAAAACAACAAACCAACCAACAACCAACCAAGAATGAATGAGAGAAAGAATGAGTTGAATGGCTTGCCAAATATACTTTTGTAGAAAAGAATACTTATTACAGCAGGAATATGTGAGCGCTGCTGTACCGCATACAATAATTTTACTGTACGACGCGGGTAGAATAAGAGTTATCGTTCTTGTTTGAAGCAGTTCTCGTGTTCATACGCCAATGTAGAAACATTCGAGACCACCTCGCGTTATTCCGGGATAAGCCGAATAGCGACTCGTTACCATTGACCGACTGGGTTCCCTCTAAGCGCAAAAGTGTATAGTTAAGAGTAAAGTGTCACATTTGTGCTTTATCAATTATCGAATTATTATCCATTCGCAATAAAATATGTTGAAATAAACACAAATGGTGACACCAACATTTCTTCGACTGGTTCGAGTCACGAGGGGAAACCAGGTTGGAATATGTGTCTTGCAACCTATGCTAGTCGTAAGGGGGCGACTTAATGGACCGGTTGCGCGTGTCATCGTACACCTGAAGCGGTGGGATAGCTTAGTGGTTAAAGCGTTCGCTCGTCACGCCGAAGTCCGGGTTTGATTCTGCACATGGGTACAATGTGTTAAGCCCATTTCTGGTGTCCCCCACCGTGATATTGCTAGACTATTGCTAGAAGCGGCGTAAAACCATACTCACTCACTCACTCGTACACCGATGCCGTAAATCCTGGCAAATGATACCAATCACTGGATTGTCTGGCCCAAATTCCAGCAGCGGCCACCTGGTCCTTTGTATGCCAAGGTGGATACGGGATATTGTTCTGCCTGAGGATGATTTACGATATATGCCAGGCACGTATCTAAGTCGCAAACTCCTTAACGCTTGACCTGGCACATCTTCGTGTTCTTCGCTCATAGATAAGGGCACATGCTAGTCATGCTACATTTACGAATATAGATAGAAATAATAACGCTGTGACTCACCACAAACGTTCCTCTCAAAGCATATTTGCTCATTTGAAGTGATAAATGTTCTCTGCAGGGAAACAACATCTCCATATCCTAAACTATTCAACTTCTTGTTGGATACAAATGGTTTAAAGGCATAAATCCGCTGGTCTCAGGTTTATACGTCCCGATCATCAGCTTTGTTTTGTGAACATCACTGCCTTGGTGGTAACCTTTAATTGGTGCGACTTGGCTTTCTTCACACATTAAGTCGAGACGACTTGATATACCTAGATTCGCTCGTCTAGCCGAAGACCCGGGTTTGATTCCCGACATGGGTACAATGTGTGAAGCCCATTTCTGGTGTCCCCCGCCGTGTTATTGCTGGAATATTGCTAAAAGCGGCGTAAAACCATACTCACATACTTTGATCTTCCCGTGGCAAGGGAGTTAACTAAGAAGAAAAGTCCAGTTCCCATCCTTGCCGAACTAAGCTGGAATTATGGAGGTATATTGTGACTGGACTAACGAGTCTATGCATTGTCCAATCAAAATCGCGTAACGAAATCAACATCCGGTTCATAAACCGGTCGATTGCAGGATTTGCAATGCACGTGTACCGTCAACTTTGCGTCAACAGATATTTTTTCAAATCTTTTCATGTTTTATAATTCAGGTGACCACATGATTTGATGCACCTCGCGAAGTAAGACCCGTTTTATTACAATATGGATCTTTATTATCGATAAGATCGTCTTCATTTTGTTTAGAATCTGATTGGTCATTAGGAGGAGACATTGACGGAAGATAACTCGTAAAAGCCACAGTGACTGCTGGCACAACGTTCGAGCCAAAGTTCATCAACCCAAACTCAATCGCTCTGTAATTCAAGACAGTTGTCGATACTGATTGTACCAACAATACGCCATGCAATCGAGGATAGGTTTACACAATGTTTGTTTGTTTGTTTGTTGTTTAACACCGCACTCAGCAATATTCCAGGTTTACACAAAAATAGTAAATTTGTTTTTTAAGACATGCCCTTAAGGGATAGAGGGAAAACGGTAACATATTTATTCGGTCAGAAGCCGGACACAGTGATGGTGTTATCCAGTGTTAGACCCACACCCACCATTATTTGAGATTCGACCTCGAGACTAAGCCATGTCTACCATGAAAGTCTACACAAGATATGTGGCCGTAAGCTGCATTTGTACTTCCTACTGTCGTTACTGCCTTCCAATATAAGGAAACGTGCAATCATGACGAATTTTGCTCTACCTACCTACCTACCCATTGATTCAAGTACGTATACTGTCGAAAAGCGTACAACTGTAACCCAGAAGTTAAAACAAATTGTAATTTGCACGTGGTACCTACAAAATCAGGAATGAGACTATGGCACATTCAGTTTAAATATTTACGTAATATAAAAGTAGAAAGCAAACATATTATGAAATAAAAACTAGTAATATGTGTTCATATCAATGTGACTTCCTGACACATGTGTTATTTTTTTTCAAGGATAAAGGGGCATTACGTTGGCACTAAACTAGTGGTACACATGTTTCACGTCAATCGTTCGTACTGTCCAAAAGTGCTAATACCTCGCTATACGGAAACTGGGTCAACGTTTCCTGCATAGCGATTTCATGTGTGCCTGTCCCCGACCCTCTCGACAGGCAGACCTCGTTACACGGAAAGGTGATAACTGGTTCAACAAAGCTGATATCCAGCAAATACTGCGTTGATCTTCCCTTTCACATGTGTGAGTGTGAATGGTGTGTTATGTCTTGCCATGAACCCTTTACAGTTAGCCAAGATAGTCTCAACGGGGTTGAGCTCACAATGTCTGACTGGCGTACATAAGATAACGTGACCGTGTTGTGCCGTCACCACAAATGTCTTGTACTTTACTGGTTTCCTATTCAGGCGAATTTTCTCCATGCGTTGGACTTTCGTTTCAGATGGTTTGAAGTCGACATTGCAAGACGTCATATATTCCTGCAAGGTCAGCAACTCATGCTTGCCGTAAAAGGTGACTATGCTTGTCGTGAGAGGCGACTAACGGGATCGGGTGGTCAGGCTCGCTGACTTGGTTGATGCATGTCATCGATCCCAATTGCGTGGATCGATGCTCATCATATTAATAACTGGATTGTCTGGTCCAGACTCGATTATTTACAGACCGCCGTCATATAGTTGGAATATTGCTGAGTGTGGCGTTAAACAACAAACCAACCAACCAACATGGTCGGCATAGCAGTGTCCGGTTCCCCACGTTATAGTGACTGGCGTCATCCATGACAATGACACTGAGGTTGTTTAAAATGGACAATAGCTGATGCTCCAACCAGTCCAAGAACACGTCACCTCCTATCATTT